ACTTTGTGTTCTCTGAGGAAACAGTCTGTAGCTTATTCACCATCAAATCCCTAGTGCCTGACAGATGCAAACTTTTTTTTAATTCAGATACAATTCTCATATCATAAAATTTAGTCTTTTAAAGTGTACACTTCAGTGGATCATAGTATATTCACAAAGTTGTACAACCATCACCACTATCTAATTGCCCAACATTTTCATCACCCTAAGAAGAAACCCCATACACATTAGCAATCATTTCCCATTTCTCCCCTCCAGTTCCTGGCAACCACTAATCAGCATCTGTCTCAATGGATCTGCCTATTCTGGGCATTTCATATAAGTGCACTCATACAATATTTAGCCTTTTGTGCCTGGTTTCTTTCACTTAGCATGTTTTCAAGGTTTATCCATGTTGTAGCATATATCGGTGTTTCATTTTTGTGTGTGTGTGTGTGACGAAGATTAGCCCTGAGCTAACATCTGTTGCCAATCCTCCTCTTTTTTGCTGAGGAAGATTGTCCCTGGGCTGACATCCATGCCCATCTTCCTCTACTTTATATGGGATGCCACCACAGCATGGCTTGACAAGTGGTGCATTGGTCCGCGCCAGGGATCTGAACCTGCGAACCCTGAGCTGCCCAAGCGGAGCACGGGAACTTAACAGCTATGCCACCGGGCTGGCCCCCTCATTTTTTTTTTTTTAACGACTAAATAGCATTATATTGTATGTCAGTATATACACATTTTGTTTATCTATGAGTTGATGGACAACTGGGTTGTTTGCACTTTTGGGCTATTATGAATAACGCTACTATGAACATTTGTGGCCAAGTTTTTGTGTCGATGTATGTTTTCAATTCTCTTTGGTATATGGCTAGCAATAGAATTGCTGGGTCATATGGTAACTCTATGTTTAACTATTTGAGGAACTGCCAAACTGTTTTCCATAGTGGCTGCAACATTTTATCTACATTCCTCATACAAAGGTTTATAATAACTATTTGTTAGGCTGAATAAATAATTTCTTTCCTTTCCTCCCTCCCTCCCTTCTTTCCCTGCCTCCCTCCCTCCTTCTCTCCCTTCTTTATGGAGCTGACACTGTTATAATAATTTCTAACATAGTGAGCTGGATACTATTATTTCCAGCACTTAACAGACTAGAAGTGTGAGGCTCAGGAGCACAAGTGCCTTGGACAAAATCACATGATTAATCAGCTGTAGAGCCAGGATCAGACCAGCCCTAGTGACTCCTCAGCTGGAACCTCTGTCCAGTCAGCTGTGAAGCATGCTCCAGCCAGGAGCCTGCAGGAGAGCCAATGTGATAACACTGTTCTATGCAAGCTATGGGTGGTGTTGGGGAACAGAGCTTAGGAAGGGATAACTTTTTGGGCCAGGGGAAGGGATTGATAAATCCTATTGATTCTGATCTGGAAGAGTGTCTTAACTCTCTTCCATTCTCTCCTCTAGTTTTTTTTTAAATGTTTTTATCTGACCTATATCAGTGGCCTCCTAGCTGTTTTAAATTCTGGGGCTAGCCTGGTGGCGCAAGCGGTTAAGTGCGCACGCTCCGCTGCGGCGGCCCGGGGTTCGCCGGTTCGGATCCCGGGTGTGCACCGACGCCCGGCTTGGCAAGCTATCCTGTGGCAGCGTCCCATATAAAGTGGAGGAAGATGGGCATGGAGGTTAGCCCAGGGCCAGTCTTCCTTAGCAAAAAGAGGAGGATTGGCAGATGTTAGCTCAGGGCCGATCTTCCTCACAAAAAACAAAAACAAACAAAAAAATAGTCTCTATTCTTTCCAATATATCCTCCTCCATTCATTAAACACACAAACTCAACCATAGCTATCCCCTTCCTTAAAAACAAACAAAACCAAAAGAAAACAAAATCCAGAAATTCCTGTCACCTATCACATTAGAAGTCCTTGGCCTCGCAGAGGTCATTCCAAACTGACCCCAGCCTACCTTTTCAGCTCCATTTCCCACCGCTCCCTTTCATTCATTCAATGAGTGTTAACCATGGGCTTGTTACAAGCCAGGTCCTGTGATAGGTAGCTGGCATACAAATCCCTTATAATGTGGTTCCTGCCCCCAAGAGATTTATATCTCATGGGGAGGAGGGCGAGCAAACCAAACTGATGATTCTAGATCAGTGTGAGGGCTTCATAGACATTAGAATAGTATTTTGGGGGAGACGTGGGCAGGACCCCTAAGCCAGCCTAGATCAGACAGCTTCTAGAAAGAGGTAAAACTTGAGCTGAGTTGTGAAGGGTGAGTACACGAGCAATGAAGTGAATCTGTCATTCCCACAAGAAGGTACAGCAGGGGCAAGGGCAAGGAGATGTGAAACGGGCTGGCTTCACACTTCATTCCACAGGTGCTTACTGAGTGAGTCTGAGGTGCCAGGTGCTGTTCTAGGTGCTGAGGACATAGCAGTGAACACAGCAGACCAGGCCCTTACTCTCATGGAGTTGATGGTTCTCCAGGGGAAGACGTGGAAATGTGGGTTGAGGATGAAGAAGGGCAACCATTACAGCCGTGGGGGTCCGTGGACCCCTAGAGCCATGTGGAGGGGGTCCACCAAAACCCTGAAATTTGAATGCAAATGTGTGTGCTCGTGTTCACATACGCATTTTCACAGGGAGTGGACTCATAACATTTTACTGTATTCTCAAAAGGATCCATGGCTGTCTTGGGTTAGAATCCTCATTCGAGGGCCCCTGTGCTAAGCTAAGGAGTTTGACCTGGATCTGGAAGTTCTGGGAGCCAGTAATGAATTTTAAGTGAAACCATCAGAGCTTGACCATGCTCCTGCCAGAGAGAACTCCTGGTCCCTCTTCCTCCGCCAAGCCTTTGTTCTCGCTGTTCCTCCCAGCCTGGAGGAATGAAAGGGGCCACACTTAAAAGCCGGACGGATCTGACTTTGCATCCTGCCTCTACCCACCATCTTCCAGCTGCCAGCAGCCAGTCTTCTCCCTCTGTGAAAAGCTGTGAGGTTTCAATGAGACCATGATGTTTTTTTTTTTTTAATTATTTATTTTTTTTCCCCCAAAGCCCCAGTAGATAGTTGTATGTCATAGTTGCACAGCCTTCTAGTTGCTGTATGTGGGACGCGGCCTCAGCATGGCCGGAGAAGCGGTGCGTCGGTGCGCACCCGGGGTCTGAACGCAGGCCACCAGCGCGCACTTAACCGCTAAGCCATGGGGCTGGCCCAGAGAGACCATGATGTTTTGAGGATTTAATGATGACTTTTGTTTGGAAAGTGCCCAGCATACGGTAGCCACTCAGCAAATGTGAGTTCCTCTCTTGGCTTGGTGGCTCAGCTCATCAGAGCACCCCTCTTGTCTGAAGTCTTCTTGGAACCCCCTGGGCGGTTGCTCACATTCCCATGGAGCTTTGTGGGTATCACCAATAATGTTCTCAGCATACTCTCTGTATTCAACTCACATCTGTATTTATTTCTTTTGTCATCGTCATCTCATTAATCCACACCACAGTCCAAGTCGTGACACCTCCCCTCCATTCTACAGATGAAGAAACTGAGGCTCAGGGAGGTTGAGAGATTTACCAGGAATCAGTAAGTGTCTGGAAGCATCCCATCACGCCTTCTGAAATAATGACAGCAGCAAGAACAATTAACATTTATTATGCTTACTATATGCCAAGCACAGTGCTGAGCATTTTACCTGCATCATATCCCCCAAATCGACCCCCCACCTTCCCGCAGGTAGGCAGGTACTACTGTTATCTGCATTTACAGAGGAGGAAACCGAGGCTCTGAGAGGTTAAGCAACTTGCCCAAGGTAACCCAGGCGAGTCAGTTTCAAAGTCGAGATTCAGACCTCCATCTGACTAATGCCAAAGAAACTCCTGTCATTCTGCCTCTCGGAAAACACTACTCTCAACTGCACAGTTCAAGACCCCACCCAAGCCTGCCCTGCATCGCGGTCTGTGCGCTCCAGCCGAGTCGCTCTTTGTTTTGGCCAAGGATACAAAGGGAGCTGCCTGATCCGTCTGGCAGCCCGAGGGAAGAGGGTGGGAGGAGAGGGTGGAAACTTGAGGTGCTGGGGCGTGTGCTGGAGGAGAGTACCTGGGGACCAGAGGGCTAGTCACGTGCGCGTGAAACTCGACCTAGGAGGAGGGGAAGTGAAGGGAATCCCCCTACCTCGGGGCGCAGCCTGGGAGGGGTGTAAACACAACTATTAACTCCGTAGACTCACTTCTTCCATGCCCTGCTTTGCAGATCGGTGGCGCCCGGCGGGTTCCCAGCTCCCCGAGTCTTCCGAGGGGACAGAGGAGGCGAGAACACGAGGCTGTCGGGCTGAACCTCCGAGGCCGCGGGGACCCGGTGTGCAGACAAGAGCGGAGCGCCCGTGTCGTTCAGAGCTGGCCCCCTGGACGCCAGACGCCGAGAGTGTGGACGCGCCACGAAGGCGCTGCGCTCCCCGAGGCATCCGCGCCTGTAGGAGGCCCGTGTGCTCCCGACCAGAGGTGAGCAGCGGGTGGGGGAAGGGGGTCCCTGGCTGGGCGTCCGCGGAGAGCCACCCAGGCCGGCTCCCACCGACACTCCCAGGCTCCTCAAGGAAAACCCGTTACCTGAGCCGGTGGGTCCCGCGGCGCATTGTCCCGTCTCTTCAAGCGCGTCCCTCCCTCCCCTTTATTCTGGTCCGACCGACTCCCCTTTTCCTCTCGGACCCCCTTTTGCTGCACTTCCTCCGTTTAGAACAACACTCTTGCCGGAGTTCGAACGGACCTGCGGGAGCGCCTGAATCTAAAGCCCCATTTCACAGATGAAGGTACTGAGGATTCCCCCCACCCGCGCCACCGGGAGAAGCGACTCGTGCTTTCCTCTTCTCCCCCCCTCTTGCCCTTCGCTGCCCCCCTGCTCTCAGCTTTCCTGGGTCTCACCCCTACTGAGCTCCCCGCCCCCGCGCCGCCCACGTTCTGTCTCCTCCCGCGCTGGCGGCCGCGGCGAGGGGGAGCTCGGGCTCCTTTCCTCCCTTTGGTAAACACACCCGCCAGCCCGCCCATCCGCCGACACTGCCCTTATAAAGTCAGTGGCCGCCGGACTTCCTGCTGGAGCCCGAGCCCCCTCCCCTGGCCGGAGAAGGCGGGCGGGCTCCGAGGCGCGCAGCGTGGTGCCCCGCGCCCTACCGAGTGAGTGAGGGGCGCACGGGGTGTCGGGGGCGCCGGAGGGCCCGCCCTGGGTCTCCTTCCACGTGGCAGCTGTTGGCTTGGACCGAGAGTCTGTAGAGACATGGGTCGCCTGGTGCAGAAATGGAGAGGGCTTGCTGTCGCCCTGCCTCAGAGGAGAGGAGTGGTCTCATAGGGGCAACAGAAGGAACGGGTCTTAGGCTAGCCTCAGACTTCCCCTTCCTCCTCCTGCTTGTTTCTGGGGGTCCTTCCTGGCGCGGGAAGCGGGGTACAGCCCAGCGGTGGCTTCAGAGCGCGCTCTGTCCGTTGCTGACCTTCGGGGACTTGGGGTTGGGCCCCCGGGAGTGGGGCTCTGCGCGCCCTGGCCTGGGTGGAAGAGCCGGCAGCGCTCCAGGAAGCTGTTGCGCGCAGACAGGACCTTCCTTATCTCTGATAGTGGCCCGGGGCGGAAGCCCAGCGCCACGTGCGCCCCTGGCACTGCCAGTGCGCCCAGAGCCCGGTTGGCAGCACCCGCCGGGAAGCCCGGGGCTCTATGGGGCCTCCATGAAGGCCTCTTCGCGGGCTAGCTCGAGGGGTCTCAGGAGCCACCATGATGCAGGACCCTTTCCAAGGGCTGCTGGGGACCCTACGCTCTGTTCCTGTGCAGGCTCGTGGCCACCATGGCCCCCACGCTGCAGCAGGCGTACCGGAGGCGCTGGTGGATGGCCTGCACGGCAGTGCTGGAGAACCTCTTCTTCTCTGCCGTGCTCCTGGGCTGGGGCTCCCTGCTGATCATGCTCAAGAATGAAGGCTTCTATTCTAGCATGTGCTCAGGTATGCCGGAGAAGGGACAAGTCAGGCTGGGGGAGGGGCAGCAGAGGGGGAGACTGGAAGCCGGAGGAAGACAGATGGCCTGGTAGACAGAAAGCAGGGCTGCTTAAGACAGCACTGGGCAGGGAGTTGGACAGCCCGGTTTCTTGACCTTTTCAAACTTCCTCTAGAGAATGGGTGGCATTCTGCCCTCCCTACCTCGTTTATCTAATCCACTCTTCACTGAATGCCAGGTATCCTGCTGGGCATCCAGATCCTGGGACTGACCAGCAGGGTCCTAAGCCTTTGGCAGCCTCAGGTCTAGAGCAAGATGGAGGCTCCTGGAAGAAATGCTGCACCTAGCTGGGTGAGGGATTTCTTAATAGGGCTATTGTAAGGCTAGATAAGGCAAAGGAGAGCCTACAACAGAGATTTGAATATCAAGGACCCGCACTCCTCCTTTTTCCGGACCTTTGAGCACCCCCGTCTTCAAATCACCCCTTTGCACAAAATGAATAACCTTTCCTCTAGGCCAGGCATTGTGGAGGGTCTCTGTCTTCCATTTCAGTCACCTTGGCTTTGTGTGAGTGCCCCCAAATGCAGGAGCCAGAATTCTAACATTGCTGAATAATACTTTTTTGTATGGATCTACACATTTTGTTTATCCATTCATCAGTTGGTGGACATTTGAGTTGTTTCCACTTTTTGGCTATTATGAGTAGTGCTCTTGTGAACATTCATGTATAAGTTTTCCTGTGAACATATGATTTCCTTCCTCTTAGGTATATACCTAGAAGTGGATTTGTTGGGCCATAAGGGTAACTCTGTGTTCCTCATTTTGAGGAACTGCTGGACTGTTTTCCAGAGAGGCTTCACCATTTTTACATTCCCACCAACAGAGTATGAGGGTTCCAATTTTTCCACATCCTCACCAACACTTGTTAATGCTCATCTTTTTTTATTATAGCTGTTCTAGTGGATGTAAAGTGTTATTTTTTTCTTGGTTTTGATTTGCATTTCCCTAATGGCTAATGATGGTGAGCATCTTTTCATGTGCTGTCGGCCATTGGTATATCTTCTTGGCAGAAATGTCTCTTCAAATCCTTTGTCCATTTTTTACATTGGGTTGTTTGTCTTTTTATTATTGAGTTGTAAAAGTTCTTTATATTCTAGATACGAGTCCCTTATCAGATACATGATTTCAAGATTTTTCTCCCGTTGTGGGCTGTCTTTTCACATTCTTCAAGGTGTCTTTGGAGCACAAAAGTTTTTAACATTGATGAAGTCCAATTATCTATTTTTTTCTTTTGCTATTTGTGTTTTAGTGTCATGTTTAAGATACCATTGCCTAATTTAAGGTTGTGAAGGGCTACGCCTAGGTTTTCTTCTAAGAGTTTTGTAGTTTTAGCTCTTACATTTAGATCTTTGATCCATTTAGAGTTAATTTTTGTGTATGGTGTGAGGTATTCACCTGGTGTTTCGAGTGGCGGTGAAGTGAGTGTGTGTCTGAGCCTGGGTGTTTGGGATGACTAGAGGTGACAGAGTGAACCCGCCTGCTTTTCTCAGAGCTATTTGTCCACATGTGGAAATCAGGCACAACATGTGTCTCTTCTCCCACCTCTCTCTCATTCAAGGGACTCCAGCCTAAATGCTTGAGACCTTAGGCTGATTGCAGGTGTCTGCTTCATCATGCTGCCCTGTCAAAAGCTCTTACTTGCTGCTTCTTGAAGCCTCGTTCATTGTGGTCTCAGCCTCCCTCTGCAGGATCCCAAGAACACGGAGTCAGACCAGGAATCTGTTTCCCCTAGTGTGTGGAAACCAACAGGCAGCATGGCTTCCAACTCTGCGATGTGCTGCTTGGCCGATTTGAGCCAGTTACTTAACTTTCGTAATATTTCAGTTATCTTGTATGTGAAACAGGACCAATAATCCTTACCTCAGGAGGCTGTTGTGAACATGAAATGAGAGCAAGCATGCAAAATTCAGACTGCAGGTGGGGGTGGTTATTATATCCTGGACCCAGCTTTGCCATCATTTGCTGTGTGACCTTAGGCAAGTCACCTGTCCTCTCTGGATCTCTGCTTCCAAGTTTGTGAAATGGAGTGGACAGCCCTCATCCTCTTTGCTGCAGAGCAATGATGTGAGGACGAAATGATGTCATTTAACAAATGTGGAGCTCATTATTGAGGTGTTCGTTAATGTCGGCTCTGGGGTTCCCTGGCCACACCCTCTGTCTTCTCAGTGCTCTCTGCTCTCTCTCGAGGTATGCCCTGGGGTGGGTGGTTGACCCACCTGTAGGGGTGTCACAGCTAAAGAGGGCTCTGTTACTTAGAATTTAGGCAGGGACAATTCAGTTATCACACTCTATTGTATATCCAGCATAAGTGCCAAAATATTAAAGCAATGACTAAAGTTCATTAAGCATTTACTATTTGCTAGTTAGATCCTCAGTCTTCATAACAAATCTGTGTTGTAGGTATTATAATAACCCCATTTTATAGAAGAGAAAGCTGAAGCTCAGAGATGCTCAGTAACTTGCTCAACTTGCTCGTGTCTATAAAAGTGGGGTGGTTGGATTTCAGAGACCTCTTCTGTTGTAATTGACATTGTGTGCCCAAGGTCACACAAGTAGTAAGTAAGGAGCAGAGTGAGGATTCAACCTCAGATCTGACTCCAGAACCTTTCTCCTAGGCCTCGTGGGAATGATGTAGCTATCTCTCACCTCCTTCAGCTTAGAGTTCTCCTGGGAGAGTCCAGCTGTAGACAGCCTAGAAGCCCAATCCTACAGGTGTTTTGGTGAATGTCAGCTGCAGGAAAGTGAAGCATCAGGGAGTGAGGGAGGGCTCGCTGACCTGGGAGACAAAGAAAATGGGATCATTTTGTGAGTGTGTGCACGGCAATCCCAGAGCCAGCCTCCCGGGTGGTTGCAACCACTCTCCCATTTCACAGATGGGGTCACAGAGCTTCAGAGTTCAGCAGCACAGCCAGTGGAGCCAGGATTTGAAGGTGCTGGGATGCTTACCCATGATCCTGTTTTCCACTGCTTCCCAGACCTAGTCATTTGTAGTTCACTTTTGTGATTTTACCATTTCTGTGTGTCAGAGGTACTATTATTTACTTAAGACTTCCTTTTAAGTCAACCCACTTTAAAAACAAATTAGGGTCATTTTAAAGTGTAATATCCTTGGAATCTTGAGTTTGATGTTATTTACACACATGCACACACATCATGCATAATATACGTTTCTAATACATACATATATGTATATATATATATATATACATGTTTCTAATATATACATACATATGTTTCTAATACATACATATATATATGTATATGTGTGTGTATATATATATATGTTTCTGATACACATTCAAATAAATAACAACTATGAAACATCAAAAACCATTCGAGGGGGGCCGGCATGGTGGCGTAGCATTTAGCTTTAGTGGCCCCGGGGTTTGCTGGTTTGGATCCTGGGCGTGGACATACTCACCGCTCTTCAAGCCATGCTGATGCAGCGTCCCACATGGAAGAACTAGGAGGACCTCCAACTAGGATATACAACTCTGTACTGGGGCTTTGGGGAGAAAAAAGAAAAAGAGGAAGATTGGCAACAGGTGTTAGCTGAGGGTCAGTCTTCCTCAAAACAAAAACAAAAACAAAAACAAAAACAAAAACCGTTCCATGTACCTCCTAAACCCATCTTGAGTGCCCCACTTACTATGCATACCACATTTTGGGAAACACTGTTTTTCCTGGCTTCTAAGCCCAATTCTATCACTGACTTACTGAACACATTTTCCCTGTCCCACCCCATCCCTCACTTTACGTGTTTATAAAAGTGGGGCGGTTGGATTTCAGAGACCTCTTCTGTTGTAATTGACATGTATAGAGGTCTAAGAGGTCTTTGCATCTTGGGCTGGCTTCCCTTGGATCAGAAGACTGGCTTTATTCAACCCCTCAGAGTGATCAGGCCTCTAGAACTAGCTCATATTAGTCAAACTCACAAGAGGTGATCAATAAACCAGAGACACGAACGCATTAATTGGCCTTGAGTTATTTGTAATTCACTGGGCTGCAATTCTCTGCCGGTGGAAGAACACATTTCCTGCCAGCACTGGCACAGGCTTGGGAAACTTACTAAACTGCCCTGTTCAGGACAGAGAAGCCCTGTGGTGCAAAGGAAAAGTGTTGGCTTTGGAGATTGTGTTGAGTTTGAATCTGAGAATGCCTGTGCGACGCTGTGTGACTGTGAGTTGCTTTGCTGCTCAGAGCCTTGTTGTCGATTATATGGGGATCATTATGCTCACTTTTTAGGGTTATTGTGAGGCTTAAATGAGATACTGTGTGAAAAAGCCTGGCACAAAGTAGGTGTTAATTAATTGAGAGCTAGTGGGATGGTTCGTGAGTGGAAGTGTCATTTGACTGTGAACGACTTAGGAGTAGGGACAGTGTCTAATTCAGGGGCTGCAAACTCAAATGCCAACAGGGGCCAGGCAAGTGGTAATAATTGGGCAAAGCAGGGCAGGGGTAACATGGCAAATGTCTGGGAGCTAAAAGACAAGTGAGAACTTAGGTGATCTAGAGAGGGCGAGTCCTGGCAAAAAGATGTGGCCCCCACTCAGCTCCAGCAATGACCAGATCTGACTTCTTAAAGAGAAGCCAGATTTTTATGTGATGACTCCTAATTTTCAACTGGCACCTGACTAAAATTTGCAAGCCAAGCAAAACATATGTGTGGGGCATTGCTGTCACCTGTTTGCAGCCTCTGGCCTAGAATTTGCATTTCTCCCTGTCCCAACACAGTGCCTGTCATATGGAGATGTCCAATAAGTGCGTGTGGATTGAATAAACGGGTGCAGACAAACCTGGTGGAGAAATGAACAGTGATCATAAAGATCACTAAATTATGGGGCTGGCTTGAACCCCAGAGACTGTATGGTCCAAACCCCTAACTGCTTCTTCCAGGTGCCTGAGCACTCTCCCCAGCTTTCCTGGCAGCTGGCACTTACCAATGGGA